AGACTAACAAAAGAGACGACGTCAACATTTATTAGTCGCGAGCATGACAGCGCACCAGCCGTTCAACCGACCAATCAACCGATCGTCCCGGGACACGCCCAGTTCCGATCCCAACCATCGAAAAAGGAGACGACGAAAAAGACGAAGAAGTGAGGACACCGATGCAATTTCCCATCCATCCCAATCTCCTGTAGGTAGCCCATCCTTCCCAGCTTAGGACCCCTCATTGCAGTCGCGCAGAAAATCGCGCACCGCAGAAAGTGGTTCGTCACAACGCGTTAACGGGCACAACTCTAGGAAGTCCTGGTGGCCTTGGGTCCCAGGCCCAGAAATTCAGAATAGGGCGTTCTTGGCCAGGTTGCCGGTGAGAGCCCTGACCTCCAGAGAAGAACAGCCATGGATACTATTGGCCCAGTTTTCCCTGGCAAAGGAATGGCATTTCTCTGATCCTAACGCTGTCTGGCATGCTCTGCTAATGAAACCCTTCGCCTCCAGGTCCTCTACTAAAACATGGGAAGGGATCCTCAAGTCGTGGGGGTAAATGCTTCCCCAACCCCTCGAGGAACCCTCCACCACAAATGAAATTCTTAATACCTATTTGTTTGAAAACTCAACAATTCGTAACCAGGCCCGGCCTCCGTTCGCAGTGGCCAAGACACCGGGCAGCTTCGGATTGGAATGGATGCAGAAGGGAGTATGGTGTGTCTACCACATATGGAACACAGACAAAACTTGGAAGACAGGATCGGAGCTCAGACAGCAACTGTCGGGCTTGCACCACGTAGACTCTCACATTTCTGAGCTTTCCTGAGTGAGCCCTGCCAAGCGGACGTTAATCGTCTCCCAACCTACCAGCACCTTCAAGGAGCAACAATGGTTCAAATCTTCCTCCTCACCAGGTATAATTTACAGAGTGGAAAAAACAAATGAAGACGGCTACATGGAGGCCTCTGAGTGGTCTTTACGTGTCTCATAGCTCCACCAAACCAAGGATGCTCAGAGCATCTCCCTGGAGGGCCTCCACGAGACTAGAATTCGACGGTCAAGAACCACGCAGGGCCCTGCCACGTCCCAAGTGATCATCCATGCCATACCATTCAACGAATGGAAAGTGCACGTCTGCAAGGTTGGATGGAACATAAAAAAAAAAACATATCTGCTCCTGGTAAAAGTCAGAGACTGTGCATTAAAAAAAAAAAAAAAAAAAAAAAAAACGGCCTGGATCTTATCTTCACTGGTGATGTGTTTGATGGTCCGGGAGTGGAAAGAAAGGTACAAGGGGCATCTTTGCTTTGGATGGATGTCTGAGTGGTTGAAGGTATCAGTCTTGAAAACTGACATATTACAAAATATCGGGGGTTCGAATCCCTCTCCATCCGTTCATGTATGTTAATTTACGGATAATGAATTCAGTATTGAAAATGATTATCGAGGAAGCTCGAATTCGTTTTCAGCGACTTTTCGTCAAAGGTAGGCTAGGCTACAGTTTCCATTCACAAGCTCAGCCCCCTTGCCAGCAGGCCTCACCCTCAACAGGCAGCGTAGATCTGCGGTGTGACGAACTAGCTTCTGTAACGCGCGACTTTCGGCGCGAAGTGCTAAGCGGGGTCCCACGTCGATTGGACGGGTTGATGGAAAATTGCATGTGTGTCCTTGCCTTTTTGTTGTTTCTTCGTTCTCGCACGAGCCCCTGATGACAGTTGGGGACAATTCGGGAATACCAGGGGAAAAGGGGGCAAAACTTGGTCGGATGCGAAGTGCACGCCGAAAGCGCGATTAATAAACATTGATGTCTCTTCTTTTCTTTCGTTTCCCTTCTTTTCTTTCGTTTTGTCGGACTCGTAGGCGCGCAGACATCGTGCGGGAATTTCGGTGTCTCTTTTTGAATTTCTTTCTTGAATTTTCTTTTCGAATCTTGGTCGGAGCCATACGGTCTTCGGAATTTTGATTTTCTTTTCGGACCTTTTCGGCAGGCTAGCTAGGAATTTAGGAATTAAGGAATTTAGGAATTTCTGTTTTTCTAGGGTGCTGCTCTGCATGTTCGCGCGCTCTTTCTTGCTGCTGCGCCGGAACCTTGATTGATTGGCGCCTCAATCCCTTTTTTGCAACTGTAATTTTTGGCGCATACTTTTGTAA